TCCAAAATGTGCTGGGCATTCTTTTCACACAGATTGCATATTCTGACTCCAGCTTGTGGAAACAAGTCTAAAATCTCCTCTGCAAGATTAGCGTCTTGCAGAAGATTTACTCTGAGACAAAAAAAGGTTCCTTATCATAATTTGAAAGCCAAGGTCTATTTATCATCAGGCATGATTTGAAGAAATTAAATTTTCCTTTGTTTTTCTTAGGTTGCTGTGGGAACCAGATCAATTTTCACTCATTTATCATGTAATGATAAATCTGTACCTGTAAGCTTGAGTCGATTCAAAGTGCTGCTCTTTTGACTATCTCACAGGTTCCTTAAATCTTCTCCAAATACCTTTCTTTTCACTCCCACTGCCTTATAGACTGTATTTTTTCCCATCTCACTCTGTGTAAGGGATCTTGTGGATCATTTGAGTAGTATTTATTCTCACTTTCTACCTTTATAGTTTTATGTTTGCACATAGACCTTATAACCCTGATCAAATGAAATAGGTAGGTTCTGGGTGATCTTTGAAAGCTGCTCAGGCTCTCCACTTTGGCCATTCAGGGTCCTCCACTTTGGCCACAACAACCCCATGCAGTGTTACAGGCTGGGGATAGAGTGGCTGAAGAGCAGGCAGGCAGAAAGGGACCAGGGAGTTTGGATTGACAGGAAGCTGAACATGAGCCAGCAGTATGCCCAGGTGGCCAAGAAGGCCAATGGCATCCTGGCCTGGATCAGGAACAGTGTGGCCAGCAGGTCCAAAGAAGTGATTCGTCCCCTCTACTCAGCACTGGTGAGGCCACACCTCGAGTACTGTGTCCGGTTCTGGGCCCCTCCGTTCAGGAAGGATATTGAGGTGCTGGAGCAGGTCCAGAGAAGAGCAAAAAGGCTGGTGAAGGGACTCAAACACAAATCCTGTGAGGAGAGGTTGAAGGAGCTGGGGTTGTTTAGCCTGGAGAAGAGGAGGCTCAGGGGAGACCTCATCACTCTCTACAGCTATCTGGAAGGGGGTTGTAGCCAGGTGGGGGTTGGTCTCTTCTCCCAGGCAGCTATCAGTAAGACAAGAGGGCATGGTCTTAAGCTGTGCCAGGGGAGGTTTAGGTTAGATATTAGGAAGAAATTCTTTACAGAAAGGGTAATCAGGCATTGGAATGGGCTGCCCAGGGAAATGGTGGATTGTCCATCCCTGGAGGTTTTTAAGATGAGACTGGATGTGGCACTTAGTGCCATGGTCTAGTAACCACAGTGGTGTTGGATCAAGGGTTGGACTTGATGATCTCAGAGGTC